TATATATATATTTTGCAATTTATAGTTTTATGTTGATTTTTATAACACATTAACACAATAATTTTTCTTTCATTGGTGTTGCAACCTGTTAGACAAAGTTGAAAAGATTTTTCTTGAAGGAAATCATAGTTTTCAAATTCATATTACAAGGTTTAGTATTTTATTAGAATTATATTTTGTCTTTATAATCATATTCTTCGCATTATGTATTTAATAGAATAGTTGAGTTGTTTATCTAATTGTGAAATTTGTTTAAATACTATTGATTTTGAAGACGAAATCAAGAAAATAAATGATAAGAATATTTTGCAATGGTCCAAAAGACATTGTCAAATAAAAAAAAAATTAACAATATTTTTTCTCATTAGAAATGGGAAAATGGTGCAAAAATGAAAATGAATGAATAATTTTTTCACTAGAAGTAAGAAATAATACGAAAAGTGAAAAAAGAAAATAATTTTCACTAGAAGTAAAAAAATTTGTCCAAAAAGTAAAAGAGAAAAAGATAGATAAAGTAGCAAAAATGATAGGAATATACTATATAATGTTTGATCTATCAATATAAATAAGCAATTTGGATCCTCTCTTGCAATTTTCTCTCTCCAGCCTCTCTCTTGCAACATTAATAGCTATTGGATATATCTAATGACTCAAATTTAATCTTATAATTAATGTAACTTCTTAAATGATTAAATTTGAGCCATTAAATATATCTAATTACTATTAATGTTGCAGGAGAAAGACTCGAGAGAGAAAATTACAGGAGAGGATCCAAATTCATAAATAAGAACATCACCAAAAGTGAAATAATTTTGTCAAGGCTATAGTTACAATGTCAAATAACATTTGGGATACTTATAAGTACTGTGGATAGTGAAGTGATCCCTAGGTGTGAATTACTAAAGGACTTGTGAGTACTCCTACATTTGTAATTGATATCATTCTTGATTGAATTGGTTAAAATAATTGAATTGTTATGTGTTTGGATACAATCAAAGTTACACATCATTCAAACAAGATGATGGACATATATTTGTAAACACACAATTGTCTTCATTGGTAAGAAGTCTTTTGGGTGATAATCAAAAGCAAAATTATGAGAACTTAGACCCAAAGTAGACAACATTTGGAGATCTTATTATTTGATTATGATTTTTATAGGAATAATATAATTTAATGAAAATATGATCAATTTTTATTTTTTTTAGATATAACATTTATAGGGAAAATATTTTTTTTTCCTGATTTTTAGCATTGTTTTTTCCCTTAGAGTCAACCTAGCAATGACATAAATATATTTTTATAAATGATATTTGAAATTATCTTTATCATTTTATTATTATACATTATAGTGAGAAAGATTTACTTTTTTTTAAAATAAAAGAAAGACATAAACACCAAGAGTTATGATTATTTCAAAAGAACATATGATTGTGTTGCATAATTGCTAGTAATTGATTTTAACGATTTTTATTTTTCTTGTGTCATTTATTTTCTAAAATGATAAAGTAAAATGTTGTTGAGATATGTCTTGTAAATGTTTTTCTTTTTGTACAATACATTTATTTCTAGATTATATATGTCTTTATGATATAAAAATTAGTGTAAATTTGAAATTAAATTTGTGTTTAAAGATACATAAAGAAAAATATTATTTTTACAATAATTTCTCAATTTGAAAAATATGCTAGCAAAATATTTTACATTTTTCATACATCTATTGTGCTCCTAAAGTAGCAATATTGAAAGAAAGAAAAAAGCGAAATGAAGAAATATCCTAAGTTAATTTATTGTCTCTTGAATATTAAATAAATTAAGATTTTTGATGCATGAGACCATTTCAACTAACACTATTTCACTCCCTAAAGTGAATGTAATAATTTATTAAAGGCTTCAAAAGTTTATGATATATGGTACTACATACATAATTGAAGATTCTATAAAAGTTAATATATTATTACTTAAAGAAACAAAGTTACATATCGATAATATATTATATTATTTTAAGTCTTGTAAAAATTTACTAAGTTCAAGACATTCATCTACATTATATCATATTAAAACAATCAATAAAGGAAACGTAAAGTACTTTGAAATCATGAGACTTAACTTGAATAAAATAGATATTGGAAAAATTATTATTTTTCATGTGGTTTGTACAACATACATACATACATACATATATATATATATATATACATATATATATATATATTAGTACAATTTAAATACATTATCGTAAAACAAAAGTTTACAAATAAAAAAATTTATTATTTGGCATAATTGGTTAGGCTATCTAGAAAGTCTATTATGATATAAAAAATAATTAAAAATTTATGCAGACACTTATTGAAGAGCTTGAAAATTCTTCAATCTAATAATTTATTATGTCCTAATTGTTTATGGGAGTTAATAATTTGATCATCACTAGATAATTGAGAAAGAAAATTTTATATGTTTAGAACAATTTGAGGGTGATATTTGTAAACCAATACACACATCATGTGAATCATTAAGATATTTTATGATTTTAATTGATTTGTTTATTGTAAATTTACAACTCAATGCTTGCAAGATTGTTACCTTAGATTAACAAGACTAAGAGTTTATTTTTCTAATTTTCCAATTGAGAAAATTCATCTTGATAAAGCTGGTGAATTTACATCTCTTGTCTTTAATGAGTAATGTAAGTCTATTAAAATTTATATTGAACATTATGTAACACATGGTCATACATAAAATGAAATCTAAAATTCATTTATTAAGCATCTAAATAAGACTATTACTCATGAGATCAAAATTTTCAATGTCTACTTGGGGATCCATAATCTTACATTTTGTAGTAATAATTTTGCATCAAACCAACAAGTTATCATAAGTTCTCCTTTTTATAATTGATTTTTGGTATCCAACCTTATATTTCTTATTTAAGAACTTTTGAATGTGTTGAATTATTATTCTACAATACGCCAAGATGAATCCTCGAATTAGGTTGAATTATTATTATTTCTATTACACATTGGTCAGTGTAATAGAAATGTAAGAACAATGAAGGTGACAGTATTGTATATGTTTAAGCATCGGCAAAAATGGTTGAATGCTTGCATTTGTGCCCAGCTATTAGGATGTAACTAGGTCAGCGCCACGTTTAGGATCCTTAAAACCCCCAGGTGAAGTTGTCAAACGGAAACTTCACTTTCAAATCTTTGAACGCAATCATACATATAGAACGAATCCATGTTTGGTGCAAGCTTGCCTAGGAAGATGTAATCGGGGTTTGGGGACGCATCGTTATGACACTCAATGGTACTTATCGGGTATGGATCCTCCGTAGCATTGAATGTCAAGCACTTGGTGTATTTTAGCAAATTGGCAATCACCCAGACATCCTGATACCGAGAAAAGTAAGCTGCCACCTCTCCCAAGTGTACCTCAACACTTTGGATGAGCCATACTTTTTTCGGCTAGACACTCGCTTGGGTGCAGGTCGACCTGTCAAACTGGTACTAGTAGAAGCTTCTTCCTAGCTCTTTTCGTCGCTCTCGCATTGTTCTTTGGTCCCACTGTGAATCGACATCACCTTGGGATCACCCCTAGCGAACTTCACACCCACACTCACGTGGCCACTTGATGTAGACGATGACAATGACAAAGCATAGGAACTGAATGACGACCCCAAGATAGACAACCTTACCGAAGAATCTTTGATTAAAGCATGACTAGACCTTATAGCCATGATAAAGAGAATTAAAAGAATATACGTACCAATTATAAGCTAATGGGACTCGGCCATCACGACGCACTCACTTGGCTATCACGACGCACTCTCTCAGCTATCAAAACACATTCACTTGGCTATCACAATGTACTCGCTCGGATTCAGATGAAATGACAAGATGGACTTCACCACACACACACACACACATATATATAGCTAGCACTTTGATAGAAGAAGGTAAGATCCCTTCATTGTAACTGTTAGATCTCCAAGATCTAACGGTGTATAATGCATGACTCTTCATTTCAACTGTCTCAATAAGAGTAATCAATACAATGGTTACTAATGATGTGCCTCCTAACATCCCTTACTTCCCACTTTTACCCTTGGTTCAATTTCTCTCTCCAAGGTTGGGAGGCATGTATATCGGATAGGTCGTTTGGCCACCAGACCGACTAGATCGAGATCCTTCAACACCTTGGTAACCAAAAAGATCATGTCATCTATCGACACCTTCAACCACCGAAAGGGATCAGGGTGCCTCTCGACACCCTTGGCAGTCGAAATGACTAAAGATAAACCAACCCCTTCGAAAGTCGATAAGGTCCAAGGACTTACAGACATAGGTAATCCTCAATTATTTTAACTAAGATAATTAGGGCTTAATTACAAGTACAAAATCAATTATCAATATATTACCTAATTGGTAACTCTAACTTAGGGCCCATCGAGATAGGACTCATTAATGTTAGTATAAATAGTTCATATCTCAAGACAAAATTTTTATTCATGACTTGCATTTATTATTCAAAATAACTTATTTGCGCATCGGAGTGCCTTTTATAAGTGTTCACATCTCGACAACCAATTTAGAGAGCGAAAAGAAGTGAAGGCATCAATTGAGAGCAGAGAAATATCTTCACACAAGTACATATAATTTTTAAAAAAATTCACAAATATTTGAATTTTAAATTTTTTATCTAAATAAAATATTTCATCCTAAAGTATTTAATTTTTTTTTTAAAAATTAAACCAATCCATTAAAATTTTAAAAATTACAATAATGAAGTGAAAGGTCCAACAAAAGAAAAATGATCCATCTTCCAAAATTTCCAATCAAAAAAATCTCCAAACTTTTAAGTTTTAGAATATTGAAATTAAAGAAATATTTCAAATAAAATTATTCAGTAAGTGTGAATTGTTTGAATGATTCGGAACACACAGCAAAACTCCCAACAAAGTATTGTGTACGGTGTGGTGGAAAGCAGCGTATAATTCCCCTATCTATCTTCAAACTTCAGACACGTGGGTGGATAGCAAGTGCAAGACAGAATAGAAGTGAAGTGAAAGTGGAAGAAGCTAAGTTTTTGCTTCATAGCTGAACAATGGCTTCCATCCCATGCATCACCCATAGTCCCATCACTTCTATACCCAATGTCTCTCCTTCACTGCGTGTTTCCGCCTCACAGTTTGTGGGCTTCAGAAAGAGACTTGGGTGGGTCAGCCTCACCTCCGGAATTGGGCCCTCCAACGGCTCCCGAGCCACGTGCTGGTTCAGGTTCGGCAAGAACGGCGTTGATGCCGAGGGTGCTGGTATTTATGGCAGCCAGCGCCGTGATGACTTTGACAGAGACGATGTGGAACAGGTTCGTGACACAACTTGTCGTTAGTTATTGTTCACATTTATGTGTGGAATTCTGTCTTGTGCATGTGGTTCTGGTGTACATGCATGTTCATTTCTATTTGTGTGAAGGGGAAACCCTTAGAGGGGAATTCTTATTGTCATTCTGGTGGCTAAATAAAATTGTTCATTTTCTTTGTTTTTATGGATTTCCCGTTTCTCTTTCTCGGGTTTCCATCAAATATTTTCATGCATGCTTTAATGCTCTAGGTTAAGATTGGAATTTTGTAACAGTGTTTTTTAAATAAACAAATGGGGTAGAGGAAGGGAAAAGCAGGCAGGAATTTAATTGAAGAAGGAAAGAGGTAGTAGGGAAGATATATCAGCAATTTTGCATTTCTTTCATAAAGATGGAAAATAGATTTGGGTTGGAATTGCGATGATTTTTATGTGATTAAATTTGTCTGTTCTTTGCCCAACTTTAAGTTATCATCTTTTTCCATATAGTTAAAAAACGGGCCTTGTTATTTATTTTCTTTCTATTAGGAATTTACAACTAGTAAGGATTGAGGAATATGAATGATGTTTGTTGTTTGGAAATTGAAATTGCTGCAACTATGGAGAATTATCCTTATAACATGAATCATTTTAGAGTGACGATGTAGTTGTGAGAACAATTTTCATTGTGATTTTCTATTTTATGTAACCATGCTGAAGACAAACATGAGTACATATTCATTCTAGCATTGAATTGTAGGGTCAAGATCAAACCTTGTAACAGCTTTGTTGAAGAAGGAAAGAGGTAGAAATAGAGATAGTTAGGTGATTTTGTATTTCTTCCATGAAGATGGAAAGTTGATTTGGGTTGGAATTGTTGAAATAATGTGATTAATAAATGCTTAATCCTTCTTGCTCGTTGTCCAACTTTAAGCTATAATTGATTCATCCTCCATTGTTTCATTAAGTGGAATGATGTGAAATGATCGGGCCTCTGATTCATGTATCACTATCACAAACACTTATCATTCACATTGTAATCACATGCTATATAAAGATTGCTCAGGCACATGCCTGCCCATCTTCTGGAAAATGGATAGAAATACATTTGCAATCCATTCATTCTTTATTATGCATTTCTGGTTTTGTATTCTTCAATTTAAACATGTTTCACCAAATTTGTAAAGCATTAAGTATCATAGTCTTATTATGCATTTCTGCTTTGTATTCTTGAATCAAGATGAGAATAATCTCTTTCCATTTCACCAAATTACCTGAAACAAAGCTAGAAAGGCCATGCAAACCTTAGGTCACCACTCTTCCTAAGTGCAATGGACGTAACTAGCTTTGGCCATGGACCCCATCCAAATAAGCACATTGCTCAATGGAAGCCTAAACCTTTACAATGTGGTATTCATTGAAACATGGTGCTTTGGAGGCTCTGCGTATTATCAGAATTTTATAACAGTATACTTTTTCAAAATTAAGAAAACTATAATTAAAGAATGAAAGGTGCAGTGTTTTAGATAGATCAGTAATTTCATATTTCTCCCATGAAGATGGAAGAATGGTATTGGTTGGAATTGCTGTGATTTTACTATGTGCTTAAATATGTCTGCTCTTTTTCCAACTTTAAAGGCATCCTCCATTTTGTTAAAAGCAAGACCTTATAAACATGTCTCATTGAGACTACTGCCATGAAACGACAAAGAAGGTAATGAAAGACAATAGGTGCTGCAGAATTTTCTGAAATGTATTTCATTCTATATCAATTATTTACAGCAGATTGTATACAAATATAGATGCAATAGTAATAATATATAAAAGGAAAAGTATCGGTTGACTTTGTGAAAATTGTTTTGTCTATTCCCACGAATCATGGCAAGGCATTGTGAAGATTTTCTTCTTTTGATTTGCTTGAATTTCCTATGATGTTGTAATTGTGGGATTGACACGTTTGAGGGATTTCTGTTATTGTTTATGAAAAGATCATCTTTGACACTAGCAAAATGATTTTCTTTTCTTCTCAAAACTTATTTAGTAAGTGACAGCAAAAAGCTGAATACTCTATAGAAACAAATATGGTTAGTGTTGGATAACACTTCATTTGAGATGTATGCAGGAGATGTCGTTTGTCTAGGTTAACTATATTGGATGACACTTTATATGGGGTTCTGAAAGTTAAATTAAATGAAGGAATTGAAACTGCAATCAATAATTTGGAAAACTAATGACTAGATTATCAATTACTGAACTTTAATCCTCTCCCCCAGTACACCTATCTGATATAATATGATGATTGATGAATTCATCATAAATTTTATATCTTGAGAACAAAACATATATATATATATATATATATATATATATATAATATATATATATATTTGTCCTAAATAAATCAAGCAAACACATTGCCTTTTTTTCTCTGCATTACAATGTCTCCACTTTTTTTATGACCTTCAGCTATCTCTAGTAACAGATTTCAAGAGTTTCTTCTCTAAATTGATTTGTGTATAGTTTCACTTGAAACAGTGATATGTTATTGAGTATCGGTCTATATGGATAAACTTCTCTATATGCACTTATAGAACAAGAAATAGGAAGGAAAAATGAAATAAATTTTTCCATAAGCTAAAACTTGCTTTGAACAAGTTAAAAATAAGTTTTTGGACAAACTAATATGAAAGTTTCTATAAATTAACTATGCATAAACTAATTTAGCTTATGGAAAAGTTTATTTCATTTCTCTTTTCTATTTTTTTCTCCTAGAAGTACTTGGGGAGAAGTTTATCCAAACATGTCCCTACTTATCCAATGCTTCATTATCTTTTCCTGTTCTTTTATTGACTTTCCTTAAAATGTAATTAGGTAATTCAGTTCTGGAAAACAAAATAAAATGCATGTGATTGGAAAATGCTTTTATGTTCTAGCAGTATTAATAGACATCATAATCTTTTGCAGTACTTCAACTATATGGGGATGCTGGCCGTAGAAGGATCATATGACAAAATGGAGGCTCTTCTAAGCCAAAACATCCACCCTGTGGACATCCTTCTCCTGTTAGCTGCCTCAGAAGGTGACAAGCCAAAAATTGAAGAACTCTTGAGAGCTGGAGCAACATATGATGTTAAAGATGCAGATGGACGGACAGCGCTCGATAGGGCTAACGACGAAATTAAAGATTTCATTCTTAATTTTTCAGTGCAGAGGGCATGATCTGTTTGTGCCCATTATAAGTGAGTTCAGCTACATAGTTGTTTATATTTTGTCTTTGATAACTTTTGAACTATATTGATTTATATGCTTTGGATAGATCATGAGAATGAAGCCAGTTTGTCTCAATAATCAGTATATACACTAATAACTAAACTTAGACATAGAACATGTTTGGATACAAGCTTAAAAAGACTTTTAAGAGAAGTTTTAAAGAAATACTCTTTATTTCTAGTAGAGATGTTCTAAAAAGTGCTTTTAGACTCTAGCCAAACAGACTCATGGAGCTTCTGTTCATGATCAAGTTCAGTATAGGAAGAAACTTTTTAAAATTTTTCTTCCTATATTTTTCTTCTAAAAGTACTTATAGTGAAGTTTATAAAACATCCTCTTAGCTTAACTTTATGTTTCTTTTCTTTAACATTAAAAATTATTGCGGTAATCTCACGTGGAATTTGAGTCTTCTAAAATTGATCTTAAAATATCTTACTGTACGAGTTTAATTTTGATATCTTTTGTAAAGTGTTAACAAATTAAAATAAAATTGATCTTAAATATAATTTAAAAATTATTCACTATACTATTAATAATTTGTTTTTGGAAAAATTAAACTTTTAATCTCTTATTTCAATATTTGGTTTCAGTTTGTTCTTCTAAGTTTAAGAAGTTTTAAAATGTTTTTGTTAGACTAAATTGGTTCTCAAGTGTTCTTTTAAAATACTAATTTAGTATAAAAAAAATACCTCAATAGTGTATTTGGATGGGGAATTTAAGTGAAGTAATTCATTTATTTGAAGAATTTCAAGTTCTTTGAGGTGAAATACCTTGTTTGGATGGAGAATTTATAAGAAATTTGAAATTTAAGTATTTGTGAAATTTCTTGAAATAGTAGAATTTCAAATTCTTCCAAAAAAGTAAGAATTTGAAATTTCTCATATTTTTTTTATTCTTATTTCACTTATATATTTTATGTTATCTCTTATCTTTTCATGTTTTTAATTATTAAATATTTAAAAATATTTTTAAAATTATTAAATATTATTTAATATTAATTTTTAAAATTATTAAATATTTAAAAATTAGCTAATATTTATTTTTATAAAATTTAATTTAAGAATCTTAACATATAAATATATTTTTAAAATCAATTTTATCATAGTAGAATCAAATTGTCATATTTAAACTAACAATTTAAAATTTGAGAAATTTGAATTGATTTATCCAAATAAAATATTTTAAAAATGATAGAAATTGAAATCATAGTAATTCAAATACCAAGAATTTAAAATTCTTTGAATTTGTAAAATTTCTCATATAAACACACCAAGGGATAGTAAAAATTTTTTAATTTAAAGGATTAAATTAAAAAATTTAAACTTAGAGGACTTTACGAAAAATTATAATAAGAAACTAAAATTTTATTTTGGCTTAAATTCATTGATTAGTAATCTTTTTTCAGAAAATAGGTTTTAACCCTAATTTAACCTTACAACGTTGAAAGTGAGAGTTGTTCTTCTCGCAGTCTATAAACATTTTTTTTTTACTAAATCATTACGTGGGTTATCTAATACCTGTTTCATGTCAAGTAAGAAACATTTCAAGCATGATAATGGGTGCGCTAATAGATCAAACAATGAAAATTATCTTTTGTTTATATGCTATTTTTTTTATTTATTGTATGAATCCAAAATTCAATTAATCATTATTATATTTCTTAATATATAGGAAAATTCATAATGTTAAATATCATAACTATCTCTAACATTTCATTGTAATATTATATTATTCTCGTTATATTACTTATAATTGTTAAAAAATTCAATTTCTCTATTAATTTGTGTCATAAATAACTATAACTTTTTAAAAATTAAAATTAAAAAGTTTACATTACTAATACTAAATGTATTAATATTTATTATATAATTACATATTTAAAAAAAAATATTCAAGTGACACTCAATTGTCATTAGTTATCTTTCATGTAATGCCATATAGATCAACATATTGTCTCAAAAATAAATAAAATAAATAATCACCAATTATGTAACAACAACAACAACAAAAAATAAGAAATCTAGAAACCATTATCTCCAACATATAGATTAAAAATGTTCATTACTACATAAACTAATGTACACTAAGGCCATCATATTTATTTATATTAATTGTAGTGAGTCTCATCTTAATTAATCTCAGAATTTGGATCCTCTCCTACAATTTTCTCTCTCCAGCCTCTCTCCTACAACATTAATAGCCATGTAATATATCTAATGGCTCAAATTTAATCTTATAATTAATGTAATTTGTTAAATGATTAAATTTGAGCCATTAGATATATCTAATGATTATTAATGTTGCAGGAGAGAGGCTGGAGAGAGAAAATTGCAGGAGAAGATCCAAATTCTCATTCTCACTACAAAGAAATTCTCAAATTATAATTGCCTACATCATTTTTCAAATGTTACCTCACAATTTATTCTTTCCACCATTTCAGCACACCTTTTATTTGTTTTAACTAGAATTGAAACTATGTTAAACATATATATTGAATTGAAACACACGTTCACATATATGTATGCGCATAACATATTCCATTGCAAATCACAACAAGACATTTATTTAGTGGTGATTCAACATAATTGCAATTAATTGAATTCAAGCACATTCAATTAAAAATATAATATTGATTCAACAATCACAAATCATATTAAAATCAATATAACATGGCACCAACATTAAACTCATAGGGATATAGAGAATTCTTGTAGACAGTGTTAAAATCATTTTTCACATTGCAACTCTGTCGAACAAATGTAGAATCTTTGAGCTTTTTCAATGACAATGCTTCAATCCCTAATCTTTCGTGTAAATCTCAACCAATTCCATGATGCAACCAAAGCAAAAATAATTATTACAATAGAAATATAATTAATCGAATAAGTAAATAAATAAAAGTAGTAACTTCAGCACCACCTTTTTATAAACAATTTTTTACGATTGAATCATTTGTTGTAGGTAATACACCACTCTTATCATCCATTTGCTCATACGCTTTTGCAACAATACTATGGTGTCTCAACACCTTGTCCACACTTTTATACATCATGCTCCTTTTCTCGTTCACCTTCATAAGTTTCGAAGGATACCAGGTCTCTCACGCTCCAATTCAGAGTTGTGTTGGGAGCGTGTGCATCAAGAACCACTACTCTCATGGCTAACATCATTGTCTTTTTCCTCCATCTTTATAGCTTTCATGTTTAACTCTCACATTCATCAAGAAATTTCAGACTAAGTTATATAGATTGTTGTCCATGGATGCTAAATACAAAAACTAATTTGAACTCTCGAGGTATGTACTGTCCTAAAGAATTTATCCGCAAACTTCCAAGATACAACATGATCTTCCTACTATTAGACTGAGGATGTATAACTAATAAGTTTTTATCCTAAAAAAGAGAGAACAAAGAATAGAAGAGAGAAATGCTTAGTACATGTAATCTCAATATTTATCATAGAGACTTTTGGCCGTTGTGACTATAATTAATCAAGATAATTAATACCAAATAATTTTGAAACGTTTGATCATTAAGATTAATTAAAACAATATTTAAGTCATTATATCTCTTTAAAATTAATATGAATTAGGTTTTTAAATATGTAACTAATAAAATAATTATATTTGAATTTAAATTTAAATTTAAAATAATTTCATAAATAAATTAATCTTTTAAAATATTTCAAAATATACAACAAATCTTACATCATTGATTTGTAAAATAGAAATTGTCCTTATTTATATACACTTATTTAACAATAGTATTAATTGATGTGAGATTAAAAAGGTATTAATTTAGTTGTAGGCTTATTAATCAACTTTTGTATATTAACCACGAACATCTATTTATGCTTGAACATTTTTAGAAGTTTTTCTTCAATAGAGGATGTGTAATTTTTTTTAAAACTTTTTATCTAATTTAATTTTTATTTATCATAATTATTTATGAATTAAACATTAATATTTTAAAATAAATTATCAATAAATAAAAATAACTTTTGGTATAATACAAATTATTTATCATAAATCTAAAATATTATTTGTATATTTAAAAATATTTATGTATATTAATTTTAAATATAATTTATATATTTAAGCATAATATTTATTTGTATATATAATTTATTA